TTTTTTTTTTTTTTTTTTCCAGAGTTCATTACATCTTGCACTTCAGACTTGGAAGAGAGTGCCTTTCCTGTGTTCCTTCTGCCACTTTCAGGGAGGAAATCACCTCTCCACTTCTCCTTCCTTAGCACCTGTGTGTAGCTATCAAAGCCCTTAGCTCTCTACCAGATCTGCTGTGTCTGATGCCACAAACAAACAACAAATAAGCAGTAACCATCTTCATGCTTTGAAGAAAAATTAAAATTATTGGGTAGTTGTTCTTCCAAAAATCTTTTCCTTAAGTCATATTTGGGCATCTGCTACAGCATTCTGCACAGTGACAGGAAGGAAAGAATGAAGGAAGAAAGGAAGGAATAATTCAAGATCAATATTTATTGCAAGTTGAGTGAGTACTGCCGGCCAAGACCTGGCCTGAAGGGGATTGATTATCTTGTTGAGTCACTACCAGTAGGATGCAAGATTAGGATTATTAGGATTATTTCTCTCAAAGATGAAAAAAGGGGCCAATAGGATGGGCTGAATGGCCTGAAGTTGTACAACTATTGAAGCCAGGAGTGGGATTTGAACTCAGGCACTGTGGCCACAAGTGTACATGCTTAGCTTTCTACTTAGTACCCCCCACAGAAATGCCAGCAGAAACCTTGGCTCCCCTGTGTGCTTGGCTCCTGGGCATTTGAGAGCTTTGGCAATGATTCTGTCTGGTAGAAAAATAAGATGATTCAGTTGAAGCCAGAGTCTGTGTCATTCTCCAAACTGGACACCTGCTGTCCTCAGGCCTCCTACTCTAGGTTTAGTTCAGCACCTACTCCAGTTCCTTCCTTTTTAAAAAAAGTTTAATTGGGGCATGTTTTCTATACCGGAAGCTTGCACTCATTTTTAGGAGTAGGTACATGTACATGACACATCCTGATTCCTTTTTATTCCCCTGACCCTCCCCAGTCACCCATCTCTTTCCATTTCTATATCACCTGTCCCCACTTAGCTGTTCTCCTTATGCTTTCAGGGGTCTGAGTATCCTGTCTTTCTTCATGACCGAAAACATCCGTGGGACATGCTGCTATGTAGTAGGAATATTAAAACTCCACTGTAATCTCAGAAACCACCTTCCTGTAAGACTGCATATCCAGCGAGCCAGCAAGAAGAAGACCTGGGATCTACAGATCCACTGACCAAATGCCTCACTGGGGATGTCAGATTTGAACTTGAGACCTGAGGGCTCTACGTCCTTCTACTTCCTACAGGGCCCCAGCTGAACCACTGATTGGGCAAGGTATGAGAGTCTAGGGAGCAGCTGGGCCAGCAGGAAAGTTGTGGTGACCACAGGGAGTGGAAAGGAGGGGGCACTCTTTCCTCTCCCCTGAACCTTGACTTTGCTAAGGTTCTTGGTGAGTCACAGATGTCTCTGCTGCTGCAGTATGTGCACAGAATCTTGACTCCAGCAGCATGGAGGGAGGTTAGGGGAACCCAAACCACACCCAAGGAGACCTTGCCCTGCATAGATGGGATCCCCTTCCGCATAGGGCCCCGCCATCATCCCTCACACATGTCTTTTCTGGAAGAGTGAGGTCAGGATTGGTTATGGCCCTAAACTCACCCCTGCACCCCACATGCAAAGGAGAGAGACAGCAGCAGATACACAGGCCTCACAAAGTGTATCCTGACAACAGCCATCTCTTCCTCATTCCAGAGTCAGGAAGTTGTGGCTGCCAACCCTACCAGTCTTCCACTACATACCCCACTCCAGAATTAACTCCATTCTTCCAGGCTCCCTTGCCGGAGAGCCCCAAGAATATCTTGAATTCTTGTTCCAGAAGGAAAGAAGGCCTATGCTTGGTCAGATAGAAGAATGTAGAAGGGAAACTATTATTAAGCAAGAGGAAGGGAATAAGAGGTAAGGGTAGGGGTATAATGGTGGACAAGAGGAAGCACAGATATGAGCAAAATACATGTGCATACTGAGCCCCTCCCAAATAATGTGAAACTGGAAGGTAGGGAACAGGCAGTCATGAATGGATAAGCTACAAGTTCCTTAAAAACTTTCCATACAGTATTTTCGAAAGTGAATCTATGTCAGCCCCATCTCCAGCCCAAAGTGCTGATTTTCAGAAGTCTACGAGATACGTGTATATCTCAGAGTCAGCACTTTCCATTCTAACTTTAGGATGCTCTATGATAGTGCTGCATCGTTTTCACAATTGGTTAATTTTTTTTTTTTCACCCAGGAGTGGTGGAAGAAATGAGCCGTGATCTGGGAATGAAAGTTGAAGGGAGAAAAGGAATTTTTTTTTTTTTTTTTTTTTTTTTTTGGTACTGGGGATTGAACTCAGGACTTTGGCAGAACCACTGAGCTAAATCCCCAGCCAAAAAGGAATTATTTTCCAGTAGTCTTTGAAATGTGAAATGCACTGACAGTCCTCTCTAACTTGTATTGGTAGGATTCAGAAATGATTGCAGTGAAGTACAGAAAACTGCAGCATGATTTCAGGGCTGGGCCAAGCACATAGCAATAGAGCAGCAAATGAGTGGAGAACGTAAGGGCTTGCCTGACTGGATTCTGTCATGAACCACACATGGCTCTGTCTTACTAAAGGAGAAGCTAATGTGTCAGCTGGACCTGAATTGCTGATGAGGAACTGGTGGAAATTAGATCACCTGCCCAAGACGGCACAGCAAACTGAGGCCAGGCAGCAGAGAGAGAGGAGGGAAGAGGGAAAACGACTGTCATCCATCCCTTTCCAGTTCTTCCCTTCCTCCCTCTCCCTGGGAGTTTCAGTCCCTTTCGGTTCCCTACTCCTGCCCGCTACCCTCCTGGTCCCACCTTCTGCCCTCCAGCCTTCACGTGCAGCCCTAAAGCCCAAAGTCTGTGGTGCTTTATTGCCCCCTGGTGGACAGGGAGTGTACTTGGTGGAGAAGTCCGAAATGGCGTCGGGCCTGGGGTGCAGTAAGGTGTCGGGCCCTCCCAGGATCTAGAAAGCTGGTGTCAGAGAACAGCTCACTCATTTATTTCTGCGGTATGGCCCAGGGGACAAGGTCAGCACTGGGAAGTGGAGTGGGGGTAGGCAATAATAGTGGAGCCAAATCCTTATGAACGGCAGTGGACAAAGAGAAAGGAGGGCAAAGGAATGAGTAACATCCCAGAAACATGGATGCTTAGTGACCTGGGCAGACACCCCACTTCTCCAAGTCCTTGATCCAAAGTGGAGATAACAGCACTATCTCCTTCAGAGAATCAGTGGAAAACGAATATGATGTAAGCCACATTCACAGCTGAGGAAAACAGAGTTTGAACAATTTGGCAAAAGTCACAAAAACAGATAGGGGCAAGAAGTTGAACTCTGCTTCTCCAAAGCTCCTGAATCCCAAATTCCACCTTTCTGTCCATCATGTCCCCCAAACATTTCCTGTTCCCTTGAGCTCATTGACCTGCTCTCCCATTTTCTAAACACTTCCTTCACCCTGTCTCCCTTTCCCCACCTCCACCGGCTTCTGATTTTTGCATTTTCGCTCACAAAGATGGTTCTGACCCTTTGAAATTCCCAAGGCAACTGCTGACACTGGTGCGTGGTTATCCCACTGCATGCCTGCCTCCAACACCAGGTTCTCTCAAGGGGGTCAGAAGTGTTCCTGTTCTTTCTCAGCAGTCGGGTAGTAAGAGAGACCAGCATTCCAGTGAAATAAAAATTCCTGACATTTGCTTTTTAGAATCTTCTTAATCTACGCAGCCAGATGCAATGTGAAAACAGAACTTAGAGCAACTGGGCACATGACATTTCCATTCTCTTTGCTTTAGGGACCTGGAATGAGGATAAATTTCTTTCCCCCTGAAAATAGTTGTGGTGAGCTTTCCAGTTCCATGATTTCCACATTCCAGAGAGTCCTGAAACTAGGGTACTATAATTGAAAATGGATGGGATGTTGGGTCACTTTGCCCCACTGTGGGCTACAGACATTCGCCCTGGGGTCACTAGAGACAGAACTGTGGCTTTCAGGCTCTAAGCACAGAATATGATTGGGGCAAACCGAGGACTCTCCTGCCATTACCAGACCAGGGGTTGTGACTGAGAGTTGGTTCTGTGTTATATGAGAAGGGGTTTCTCAGTTTGGCCAGATGTCGCGAGCCGGGGACGAAGAGCACTGTCCAGCAGTGCCTCAAACCTGAAAGAGCAGCGGGGTGGAGATAGGGCAGAGAGAAAGGAAGGACACCAAGACAAGAGTCTGATCAAGGCGACGTTTATTGCAGGCAAGCATCAGCCTTTTAAAGCAAAAAAACCACAAACTGTTATGGGATGGGATTACCATAGTAAATGAAAGTTCACACAGGAAAGAGCAAATAGGCTGAACAAAAACAACTATTATGGGTAGTAGTAACCCAGACAACTACACGTCTGAAGGTCAGAGATAAGAAACTGCAACTTTCAGGAATTCCGCAAAGGAAATACACCACCTTCTAAACTGGAGAAACTTAACAAATATGGAGTTGCTAAAGATAACAATACTTACAACCAATACTCATGATTCCCACAGCCAGAAAGGTTGCCTCTTCCTAGATGTTTCCCTAGGATATCTGGCACTCCAGATTTATGAAGATGAACTCCCGATCCTCACTCTCACGTTTGCAGCAGGTGGGACAGAGCCTTAAGGGGAACAAGGACTTGACTATTTATGCTGTGCAGGACCTGCCAGAGAAGCTCTTCCCACCAGTATTCATGGAGGCCTTAACCAAGGGATACACTGAGCTCCTGAAGGCTATGGTGCCTGCCTGGCTCTTTCCCTGCCTCTCATTTGGGCCACTGATGAAATGAGGAAACCAGAGACACCACAAACATGATTGATGTTGTCCAACTATAGGCAGAGAACCCACTGACAGTGCAAGCTGTCCTGGATGGGCTTGATGTGCTACTGTCCCAGAAAGTTCACTCCAGATGAAGGTGGTCCAGGTACACTGGAGGGAGGGCTCTGATAAACTGGGGTGGGGAACATTAAAGGTCAGGGAGAATGGGATTCTGAGAGATGGAACAGAGACTTCTTATAGCAACTTCCAGGAGAATAGGAGTGTCCTTAGCCGTTGCTGAGCCCTAGCTCAGTTGGCTGCTGGATGAAGAGGACTGCTAATGTTAAAGGCAGCAGTTAAAGGAGCAAAAGAACCTAACACCTCATACAATCACCAGGAGTAGGCACAGGGCTGGATCCAAAGGGGAAGGGAAAAGAAAGAAGGAAGGAAGCAAGAAGGTGATGCCCTGGAGGAGAAGTAAATCAGGAGGAAAGCTGGGCCTGGACTTAAATTCTGTGGATCTAGGCCTAAATTCTGAGACACCTTCTTGTTTCCCCCATGAAAGGCAGAAACAGCAAGTGCTATATTGCAGAATGGGCATCAGAACTTCTAGAGAGTCAGGGTTGGAGACCTGGCTGACTCCTGCAGTGTAGGGGCCATGAGTAGGAGGAAAACAGAAAAGACTGGGGCAAGCGTGGCTGAAAGCAGGCCTTAAAGGTCATTGTAGACTTGTGCCCCACTCAGGTATGTCTAGGTACATTCCTGTCCTCCCTATTTGGGTGAGTCCAGGACAGAAAAGGTTTGTCGTAGCTGTACTGTGTGAAGCCATGCATTACAGTGGTGCCCATCCAAAGCATCATGAAGGCCTTGGAAATGGTGGGCCTGGATTGCATGAAGGAGGTGGAGGTGCATTTCTTTTGGGCACTCTCAACCCTGGCTAGTTTTGTGTCTCATCAGGGCAGAAGAAAAATCTTCACAAGCTACTTCTATCCCACATCCCCGTGCCTGGCTCTATTTCACCAAAGGGAAGGGAGTAGTTGGTCACTTGATTCACCTCTTAATTTCTCAAGCTTCACTGACTGCAAGAGACTTATTTGGACACCTACAGCATGTGCTCGAGTAAAAAGGGGAGCTCTCACTATAGAGCACAGCAGAGCCTTTCATTTTACTAAAAAGTTCAGTGACCCTCAGCTGTGTACCAGCCCCAAGAGATGTGACAGAGTTCTAGACACTAGGGTCAAAGCATTGCCTTGTTCACACCTCAGTTCTAAAGCAAGGTCTCACATAATCACTAAACTGGAGCAGCTGCTCTGGAAAGGGCCAGGATGCCAAGATGCCAGATGGGAGCGGTTCAGATCCAGTGAGGGTATCTACAGTGAGGTTTGTGATTTCTTCCTTAGAAAGCACATCTAGGTTAAGGTGCTGAGAAATAGGGAAGACAGAGGGCATTGAAGGAGGTGAAGACCTCATACCTCACATACAGTGTGTGAGTTCTTGCTTAGTAGCTATGTGATGGGCAGTGAGATGGTCTCATGTCCCTCTCTGGGAGAGGCTGCAGTGAGCTCCAGGCAGAGTAATGACCAGGTGCAAAATGCAGGAGTCTGGAGCTGTGCGCAAGGAACAGACGTTCAGGTTGGAAAACAGGGACAAAGGTTTTGCTGATGACACAGAGGCAGCTCCTATTGATGTAGTCAGATGTTGCCTGATTAGCCCTTCCTGTCTCTCTGCCAATGGCTTCATCTGCTCAGATCCATAGTTTTCTACTTGACAGTGAGGAAAGAGGGCTGAGGAACGAGCCAATCACTGAAGTGATGGTGCATGACCTCAGCCTAAATTGAGGTGACTGAAATGGTCGGTGCTTTCAACACACAGCACTCTAGTGATGATTATCATTGGACAGTCCGAGTGAAGCGGGGCGAATGGCATGTTCTTTACTCAGCATTCATTCTGCACCATTCCTACTAATCATCACCAACCGCCCAAACCAACTGCTTGGTCTCTCTTCAGGTGTCCAATCCCCCTTGGAGAGCCTTTCCATAACTCACTGCTTTCATAATCAGACTGGAGGAATCATGTGTCCCACTCCCCGAGCACCAGGCAGCCAAAGCATTTGGCTCTCTGTGGTATCATACTGGCTGATTTTAGTCTGTGAGCCCCTCTGAATTCTACTGGATAAAGTTGCAGCCACATTGACCACCCTGCACTTGAG